TTTTTAGGGTCAGATTTGCTCTGATTTTCCAGAATTTTCCCCCCTAAATTCTCTCAGGGGATTGAGGTACTTGGAAATCCTACAGGGGGGGAAAATCCCAAAATTCCTGCTCAGTCTGGGACAAAAATTAATTTTATTTTTTATAATTTTTAAATTTTTTAACCCAGGTTTAAAATGGGAGTGGTTTTAGGGGCAGCTTTGGGGTTTTTTTTTGAATTTTTAACCCATTTTATTTTCTAAAAAGGTACATTTTTTCCCCACTTTCGCATATTTTATTCCCATTTTTTTGTCCCCAAAACCCCCCTGGAGCCTCTGATGGGAATTGAGCATTTTTGGGGCTTTTTTTGATGCCTTAAACCCCATAAATCCCCATGAAAAAATCTCCTCGTGCCTTAAAAATAAAAATCCATCAGGAGCAGCTTTGGGGTTTTTTTTTAATTTTTAACCCATTTCATTTTCTAAAAAGGTACAATTTTCCCACTTTCCCATATTTTATTCCCATTTTTTTCCTCCACAAAACCCCAATCCTGAGGACAGAAAAATCCCAGAGATTATTTGGGAATTGAGCATTTTTGGGGGTTTTTTTTGGTGCCTTAAACCCCATAAATTCCAGACCAAAATGCTCCTCATGCCTTAAAAATAATAAAAAAAAATCCATCAGGAGCAGCTTTGGGGTGGTTTTAGGGGCAGCTTTGGGGTTTTCCTGGATTTGATCCCACGGTCAGAGCTGCCCTAAAGATTTGGAAATGGAATTTTGGGGTCGTTTTAGTCCTGAAAACCCAAATTTTGGGCTCATTTTGATCCTAAAGAACCAAATTTTGGGGTCAGTCCCAAAGAGCCCAAAATTTAATCCTAAAGTGACAAATTTGGGGTCATTTTGGTCCTAAAGAACCAAAAATTGGGGTCATTTTAGTCCTAAAGAACCAAATTTTGGGGTCACTTTGATCCTAAAGAGCCAAATTTTGGTGTCATTTTAGTCCTGAAAAACCAAACTTTGGGGTCATTTGGATCCTAAAGAGCCAAATTTTAGGGTAGTTTTAGTCCTAAAAAGCCAAATTTTGGTGTCAGTCCTAAAAAGCCAAATTTTAGGGTCATTGTGATCCTATAGAGCCAAATTTTGGGGTCATTTTAGTCCTACAGAACCAAATTTTGGGATCATTTGGATCCTAAAGACCCAAATTTTGGGGTTATTTTAGTCCTGAAAAGCCAAATTTTGGGGTCATTTTAATCCTAAAATGACAAATTTTGGGGTCACTTTGACAGGGCAGGAAAATCCTTCCTGGGGGGTGGAAAATCCTAAATTTTGGGGTTAAAAAAAAATCCTTTTTGGGGTGGGAAAAATCCACCCTTTGCCTTTGCTTTGTTTGGGTTTTGGTTTGGCCTCGGTAAAGATTTATAAAAATAAATAAAATCTTAAATAAAAAATTTTGTTTTCTTTGTTGTTTATCAGTGCAAAAGTGGGAAATGCTGCTGCAGTTGTGTTGCTGGAGCTTGGAA